GCAGGAATCAGCAATGCCCACTATCTGCTTGTGCATTATTCTTCTCACTGCTGCGGTCGACAGGATCTACCAAGGAAATGCACGGGCCCCTAGAATCTAGCCGTAGCCGGCAGAGGCAAGAGAAGAGATCGCAAAAGACACACAAACCAAATCCTTTGCGTCTTCGTCGTCATAAAGAAGGGGCTGCAAATCAACCACAACCAACATCATCACCATCATCATCATCACCACCACCAACATCACCACCATCATCATCATCACTACCACCACCACCATCACCACCAACGCACACCAAAGTGGCTCCTAAATCTGGAGCCGAAATTATGGAGGCTTCCTTCCGGAAGAAAAACAGCCTCGTAAACTACACAGAAAAACACGTATACACACAGATGATCAAACACACATGTGAACGCACCTTTTCCTTATCACATCCTGAATGATAAAAAATATCCGAGATATTCGAACCGTGTGTCGGGGGAGGAAGATCTAGGCCTGACTGATCTGGCCGCGAACGACGTTCCCTTTCGTCTGCTGCTTCGGGGAGACACGGACAGGCAGCTGCAAGCTAGGACTGGGCAATGAGTCGCTTTAGCAAAATTCGGATAATATGTTAGTGCACCCCTTCTGCAATTAATATGATATGAACCGCTTCGTCAAATGGGTTAGAACCACTTCGACAAACGGGTTAGCATCACTTCAAGAAATGGGTGCACCCTCTTCGGCAAACGGGTCAGGAAAGGGAGTTAAAAGAGTCTAAATTCGGAAAATGTTTCATTGAGAATTATCCGGATATCCGTATAGTTTATCCGGATTTTGCCCACCTCTACTCCAAGCCCCCGAGTCCTCTCCCTTCCTTGGCCTGTGAGCACGGGAGGAACGATGGTAATTTTACAATACCGATTCCACACAGATGGGGAGAGAGGGGGAGAGAAAGAAGATCTCAGGGAGGGGAGGGGAGGGGAGGGACGGAGGGAGAGGGAGAAACAGAGAGAGAGAGAGGGGAAGAGAAAGACGGTCTCTGAGAGTGGAGGGGAGGGGAGGGACGGAGAGACGGAGAGAGAGAGAGAGAGAGAGAGAGAGAAGCAGAGAGGGGAGAGGAGGGAAGGGAGAGACGGAGAAACAGAGAGAGAGAGAGAGGTTGGGAGGGAGGGGTGAGCGGGGGAGGAGAGAGAGAGAGAGAAAGAAGATCTCTGGGAGGAGACGGGAGGGGAGGGAGAGACGGAGAGAGAGGCAGAAACAGAAGGTATGACAAGATAGACAGACAGCCAGACAG